TAAAAGGAGCTTAGGAGCACCCCTATTAAACTTTAAATAAGGGAAATAAGTCATGGAAGAGTTAGTTACTGAATAACATCACTGCTGTGGTAGATCTCTTTGTTATTTACAAAAACTTTTTTTTACCGTCTAGTCAAAAATGCAAGAAAATTATTTTTTAACTAAAAAAATTGACTATGGTCGGCTATGGGCATGCCCCCCCCCCCCCCCCCCCCCCCCCACCGCATTACGGGGTCTGGCGGCAATGTAGTTCCGCCCCTGACCTGTTGTGGATTTTAAAAGGGAATTAACAAAAAGTATTATTTTCCGTGCAAATACTGGTATGACTGCCTTCCCTGTAATTTGTATTTAAATCAAAATATAATGGTTATTTAATATTTTCATTGTAAGCATTGCAGTAAGGATAGAATATGTTTAGTAATATTTACTTGCATTCTGCAGTTTTATAGCTAGCATTAAGAAATGTCATGTGAGTAGTGTAAAACTAAGTATTGGCTCTGGATGATGATAGTCAAACTAGTTTACAACCTTTTGTACATATTACTAAAATATCTTAAAATTATTATAATAATTATGATAAATAAAAACTCATATTCTAGATGCTAAGTTTTTCTCTTTTATTTATTAAAAGGAAAATATTTTAAAATGAGACTTCAACTATTTAAATGCTTTTTAAATATGTTGTCAAGGATTTTTGTTTTATATTTACCAGCTTGTAGTACAGGAACAAACCAAATTGAAATTAGTTTTCCTGAAAGAGAACTAAACAGCGTAGGCCTACTGACCGATGCAGGTAAGTAACGTTTTTCTTTAGCGTGTGTGGGTTTTTTATGTTTTAAATTATTTTTAATCATTTTTGTAATAATATTAAAAAGTTTATTTTCATAAAAAGATTTTTTGTTGCTATGTATAAAACTATGTAATGAATGGGAGTATGTAGACTACTGCTATAGAACCATTTCTATTTTAATTTCTTTGGTTTCTAAGGGAACACTATTTTTATATTCATCATCAACATTTCTCATTTGTGCCCAAAACACATGGGGAAGATGAAGTAGAGTTCATCTGCTTCAGAGACCACGAAATATGAAATATGAAGGGATAGTGTGGTCAGTTTTATGCCCAACCACTTGTGTTTCTCTAACGCAAGTTAGGTACACATCAGATCTTGAACCCGGATTCAAACTTGAGACTTTTGGGCAGTCTAGCTCTCTTCCGCTAGGTCATGCCATCCCATTTTTATATTAATATCCTTAAATTTAATCAAAACAAATATGTAGAGAATCTAGTTATAGATAGATCTAAGTCTTGACAAAACAAGCCTCTAAAAACTTATTAATTTTAAAAAATGTATATCCAGTTTATTCTCAAGTTCTGTTGGCTTCTTCACAAGAACTGCATAATGTGACTGTTGGAAATGATAAAGATACGCCACCACAATATCCATTTCAAAATTATTTTGAAGTAAGATATGTTGCAGGAAACTACAGATTAATCATGACACGGGGCATTGATCGTGATGTAAGAACTTTTTTAATTTTGAGTTATGTTTTTTAGGTTTTAAATATATTAGACTAATTACTGTTGGTTATTTGTATATATTCATTTTGGTTTTCTATTTCCACTCATTGAAGCTATGTATTCATTACAATTCATGCCTAAGCCTTTATCATATACAATTTATATAAAAAATGCACTTATTTTAACAGGGTCCCACGTCTGCAACAGAAGATGATGTAAATTTACTTCAGTACCAGGTGGCTTGCCAAACAAATCCTGATTCTGCGGTAAGTTGTGTATACCAGTTAAAATACCATTTTTTTTGTGCAATATAAATTGATGGATGCCCCTTTTTCAATACACAGCAAGGTTTCATTTACTACAGTTAGGTTACAAAAAAAGATCATGTGAGAATTTAAAGACTTGCATGAGCTACTTATCTTAAATGGTTACCTAACCCCCTACTTTCTTCAAAACACTTTATCTCCGGGGGTACCCTTTAAATTGGGGGGGGGAGATAACAATTTTTCGGGGGGGTGGGGCGGACACTGTCAAAAGTATATATTTTCAATATAAATTGCATTTTGTTCGGGGTAGCGGTAGACTTTCTTTGGGGGGGGGGGGGGGAGGTGGGGTGAGGGTTGTTTACCCTCCCCTGAAGAGATGCCTGGAAGAACTATGCCCACTTTTGTTTACCAATATCATTTTTATACTGTTGTATTTTTACTTTCAGACATTATACAAATATCTAAAGGTTTTGATAACTGATATAAATGATAACACACCACAGTTTTTGAATGCTCCTTATGGAGTGGAAGTTAATGAGGTAAAATTTATTAAATAACTTGATTAAGCATTTGATTTTTGATTTTGTGTTTTTGTATTTATCACCTATTAAAATTTATAAATTTTAAACCCAAAAACTAACTAAAAAGTTCTGCTTGATTTAAAATTATGTATAGATCTATTATATTTTAGCTGACCCCTATTGGTGTAACTGTCTACCGTGCCATTTCTGCCACTGACAGAGATGAAGGTCCAAACTCACAAATTGTTTACATTTTAAGTGATGATGCAACCACACAGGTAAATATTTTCATTTTTTACTGCTGGATACTGTCACTTCAGTTTACAACATTTGCTTGAATTTTCCTATATCTAGTATATGCAATTTAAGTTGTTTTATTTTCTTATTTTCAGTGCATTCAAAAGCTTGTTATAAAGGTTTTTTATATTTATTTATTAAAATGTAAGCAACTTTTTTCTAGTTTAAAAACGGCACACAATACTTTTCCTTGCCATCTGATCAAGAAGGTATTATAAACATAAAAGGATTTCTGGACTTTGAGAGCATGTACAATGTGACCAGAGATGCTAGCAAGACTTTCTACATTATCAATGTGATCGCAAGGGTAAATATAAAAACTATCTTTTACTTTTAATCAACATTTGCAAGTTTTAATTGAATAACACAAACATCAAATCTTATAAACTGTATTGTTGTTGGGACCAGGACAATGCTGCTAATGCAAGTCTGCGAAGATCAAGTATGACAACATTGACTGTAAAAATTTTGGATGGAGATGATCTGGGTCCTGAGTTTGTGTATGATTCATGTATACTCAGTTATGAACAGTTCTATCCTTTTTGTATCAGACCTAAGTACACCACAACAATACTCTCAGGGACTAACCAAGTAGGTCATTTCTTTCATTACATTAGTAAACAAAAATCTATATATTAAAAATGTGTTATTAAATGTTTGAAATTAAAGTAACTATCAATAAAATGAAATTAATATTTTTTTAGGATGAAGAGTTGTTCTTTCGGCCAGTTCCAGCAGTTCCTAATAATGCAGATAACATAAGTATAATAATGCAAGATCGAGACACTCTAAACTCACCAATTGCTTGTATTATAAAAAACAGTAAGTAGAAAATTATTTTAAGTATAATTTGAATATCGCATTACATTTTCAAAATATTTTACTCTTATTTTTTAACTTCAGTCAAATCTAACTTAAAAGTTACAAAGAAATGTATTCATTATTTTAAAATAACAAACAACTTTAGCATTTCATAAAGGGGTAGTGATGAGAAAGAAAAAAAACAGTTGAATGTTTGTAAAGACCTAAAGAAAAATCAAAATGATTTAAATATTTAAAGTAACATGTCTATATTTGTTTACTTCCAGCTGAACCAGCAGGGTACACAGACTATTTCACAGCTACAGCCATCCAGATAGGCACCAGCAAGCAGTACAGGTGTAGAATTGTGAAGAAAGCTGGAAGTGTTCTGACTAGATCTGTTGTCTCAAATCTGGAACTTATCATTGTGGTAAATCAATGGTTTCAAAAGTTTTCTGGGTATTTGTCATTTAGTTTTTTAAATATATACATTTAACCATTTCTAATGTTTATTATTATTTGATAAATAAAGGATAACACTGTTTCAAGGTGTATCATTATAAAATCAGTTTGTGCTTCTCACAACTTATATCCTCTTCTTGCATTACTTACAGCTGATGCAAACTTTCTGATTTTAAAATAAAATCATAAGATTGTGTTACATTAAAATTTAAAACTTAAAGCTATTAATTTTTTGGTTTTAGTTAATAAATGTTGTTTATTTCTTCGTTATCTTATTAATTTTTTAAATCCAACACTTGTACTTAATAATTTTGTATTTTACATATTCTAAACTTATTTTTCAGGCGATGGAGCAGTCGTTTAATCGCAGAGAAGAATATGCCATAGTGTCAGTTCAGATAACTCCCACAAACCAGTACTCACCCACCATCACACCAGCCAGTGGGGTTGGCTACATCTATGAGAACTCTCCAGCCTTGACCTTGGTATCTGACAGCATCAGTGTTACAAACGCCTTCAAGCTGACATTTCAAGATCCTGATGTGGTAGGTTGTCACCGCCTTGTTTTAGCTGTAGGTCCTACACTACTTGTATTTACCAAAAGTTATACTGGGTTGGCTCTACTGAGATTAAGTATTGAATTAATATTGTATTGTATTTGCATGAATGTTGTATACATGTTTTGATGTGTTTTAGACAGGAACAGATCCCCCTACAACATATACCTAAAACATGTTTTGATGTGTTTTAGACAGGGACAGATCCCCCTACATCATATACCTAAAACATGTTTTGATGTGTTTTAGACTGGAACAGATCCCCCTACAACATATACCTAAAACATGTTTTGATGTGTTTTAGACAGGGACATATCCCCCTACAACATATACCTAAAACATGTTTTGATGTGTTTTAGACAGGAACAGATCAACACATACCTAAAACATGTTTTGATGTGTTTTAGACTGGGACAGATCCTCTACAACATATACCTAAAACATGTTTTGATGTGTTTTAGACAGGGACAGATCCCCCTACTACATATACCTAAAACATGTTTTGATGTGTTTTAGACTGGGACAGATCCTCTACAACATATACCTAAAACATGTTTTGATGTGTTTTAGACAGGAACAGATCCCCCTACAACATATACCTACAGCACTACTGGGGGGCCTTTCACAGTTGGACCAGATGGTTATGTAAGACTGACCACTAATAATGCACTGGATCATGAACAGACTAAAGCCTACACTCTTACTGTAAGTGATTGAATCTATTTATGTAGACGTTATAACAATGTTATTTTTCTGAGAATTTTGTAATGTTTTATAATTTAAAAAAAATGAGTATTCTGGTTGGATCATGGGAGTTTAGATATCTTAAGCTCCAGAGTTGTCATACGCCTGGCCATGTTCAGTGCTACTGTGAGTTGACACATTTACATACAATGGGTGGAGCATATCACTCTGTTTTATTATATGGGGTTTTTACAATATAAGCTTTAGTAAAAGTTTGAGTTAATAATAATTGCCTTCCATGTTTTAAGCGCCAAGTGTTATTTTTATTCTGGTAAGGTTGTAATAACAGAACAGACAGCAGAAAAGTTTGCAGCCACAGCAACAGTGTCTGTGAATGTACTAAATGTCAACGATGTGGCTCCTAGTGTTCTGTCTACTGATAGCTACATCATTCAAGTGCCTCAAGGAAACTATACTACAGTAATCCGTGATCTTGTTACAGTAAGTATTTTGCACTATTTAATATATATATATATATATATATATATATAACTATATTCTAAATGCTGTTTTTATGGTAAAATTAAAATATTTTAAATTATGTAGGACCTAAATAAAAATATTTTGAAATTATTTTTAAGTGAATATTGCTCGAAGTCTAAAGAATAAAACAATATTCATCAAATTTTTAAATATAATTTTTAAAATTTATTTAGTTTCAAAAAAAGACCTTTAATACAAAGAAAATTTTCCCCAACTACAGGTGACTGCAACAGACCAGGATGGACCAGCCTTGACTTATTCACTTAAACGTGTGTCTCCTGCTGTCAGTGCTGCCAAATTTAGTGTACTTAGTACTGGCCTGGTCAAACTACAAGGGGCAGTCACTGCAGGAGAAGTGTACACTGTTTACGTTAATGTTTCTGATGGGGGGACACCACTCCTAAGGTTTGATTTAATTTATAGATACTTCACATAAAACGTTTCAGAAGCTCTTTTATTTCTGTGAAAGCATGTTTTATCATAAAAATTACTTGTCTATTTGCTATAATATTTAGTTGATGTTTACTATTACACTACTATAATTATACTTTTTAAGTTAAAAAATATAATATAAGACAATACTCTCTTATAAATAAATTAAATTATGGTAATCTATCGTTTTAGGTACGTAAAATCGCCCGCGACTAGTAATGTGAAAAACAGGTGACTCCTTACATTTTAATAATTATTTCACATTTTGAGGAGGATTTATGTTTTGAAAAATACCAAAATATTTCCTTGTTTCATTTATGTACCGGTTTTTAAATAATTGAATTAAAACTTTTCAGTAATAAATTAACACCAGCGATGTTTCCAACAGATGCAACCATGCTCATTTACTATAGCAGACATCTTGTTAGTTTTATTTTTATAGACTTATAGCCGAGATTCAGGCGGAAGTCACTCTATTTTACAAATGGCTGCTGTTTATATAGCAAATCTTGCTTGCAGACACTGCTGTTTAAAGTCAATTTCTGGCCTATATTGATATATTTAGCCATTGATTTAGGTTCATTATTCATGTATCTATAATATTTGACACAAACATATCACAATATACTTCTATTACAGCCTTGACAATGAGGTAACGTTTTCGTACATTAATAGCCGCGGGCGATTTTACGTACCCAAAACGATAGATTACCTAAATTATAAATTATGTCAATAAAAATTGCAATTTCTGTAAAAAAATTATTTTTAAAAATACAATAATTTTTGTAAAAGAATATTCAAAACATTTATAGCAATAAAAATTATAAAACCTAACAATTTATGAAATATTTTACAAGTAAATTTGGAAATTTCATTTACTACATGTTTACACAACACAATTGCTAGCACATCACATCAAATTTAAATACCCCAACACCACATCTAAACAAGTCTTATAAACCACAACATTACATATTCAAATTTTTAAATTAACTCAAACAATAAGTATCAAATAAATTCTTGTGTACTAATAAAGTAATTGTTAGATAATTTCTTATGTACCCCCAGTGCTGAAGCTGCTGTTGTCGTGACTGTGGTCCCACTAGCCAACCAAGCTCCAGCTTTCACCTCCCCCAGCTACACCATTTATGTTAGTGAAGGGGTCCTCAATAACTCAAGGCTCTTTGACTTACCTGTGAGTAAACTGTGTATACATGTCATTCTATTTTACAGGAATAAGGCTTACACAGTGTTTACATTTATGACATGTATACTAATACTACACTTGACCTACTTCAGTGTATACTAAACATGTTATGGGGATATGGAACATCTTCTGAGTCGCAGGTCAAAAAACCATGCCCGTTTTTATGTTCTGGGTCTTTTGTTTTTGCTCACTGAATGAAAACGACATGTTCTGAATTTTCAGACGAATGCGCATGAGTCTGAACATAGTAAGCAAATTCCAGGCCTAATTTCTAGCTCTCAGTTGATTTTATACATACTGATCTTGAGTTTTTGAGCACACAATTTAAAATTTTCTCTGGGCCCTACTAAAAATTACATTTATGTAATTATTTGGTATTTCTTTAATTAAATCCCAAATTCTTTTAAATGAAAAATTGTAATGTCTAATGCTTTACAATTTTGTCTGAAAACCAGATTAGGTTGTAATTAAATAAATAATAATTAATTAAAAAAATATAATTTAACCAAATTTATCTTCAATTTTTCCTTTACCAATATTTTGTTTTAAGTGTATCAACATATTCTCAGTTTCCGTCTGACAGATGAATAAATCTATTGGCCCACCAGAATGTGCTAGTGGGGATCACACTATAAAAACAGGCAGATAAAAAAGTGATTGGCTAATTATTTAGGTTTAAATTGGGACATAATTAACATAAATAGACAGGGGAAGGGGAGGAATAAGTGTCATAGGCCCAACTCTAAAATCTAGATCTACTTTTATTCTTAAAAATAAACTCAGTATTGTTATAACTCGATCTCAATACATTAAATGAGCTTGGCAGATGCAATTTTTGGCAAAATTTCCTGCTATAGCCATGGTGATGGGGGCCATCTTTAATTTTACCTTTTTAACATATAAATAACTCAAAGATAGCTTATGTGAATTCAATAAAAACTTACATGATTATAGAGATGCATGTTAATAACAATTCTGATGGATTAAATTTTAAAATTTAAAAATATTTTTGTTTTTTCTAATTTTTAAAATAATTTATTGTTGAATCAAAAGCACCATGGCTACACCATTGTCCTTTAAAAAATAAAGCTGCGTGCCACTATCTACATTTTTTTTTACTTTGATTTCTTCTTTATTTTAATTATCTGGGCCTATATAGCAGATGCTCCAGGTAAAAGGTCATGCTTGATTTATAAAAATTTCTATAACATGTCCAGAATGTGAAAGTTAAACTATACATGTTCTGTGGAGAAAATGGTTCCAGAAAAAATTAACTTTTGGCGGACTTTGTGTTCTAGAAATGTGTATAGTGTAACGTTTACCTATCTATCAGCCAGATAGATGGTGAACGTCCCCGGATTCTTTTTTCGGGGTAATATGCAAATGACTTAAAGCCTAAATGGATGAACACTAATTCAACAACACACTAGGGCTCGAACTCAATGTCTAGGGAAAACTAGTGATACTATTGAAGTTAGCAACTCATCCAATCTGCATACAACCTTTAATAAGCGAACACAGTTGTGGCAGAACACTAGGTTAAACTAGATAAAATATTTAATTTAGGAATTAACAAAACCCAACTTACAAAGCGTAAGAAAAAACACTATCACAGATTTTAGCACTGTATAAAAATAGCCACAGGTCACACAACACTGCTATAGCTTCATGAATCACTTGGCGACAAGTAATATTATACTAGAAGACTAAATCAACTTAAGAAAGCCTAGCACACACAGGACTTAAGTTCTCTCACGTTCAAATGGTCAGAATCTATTGCCGGACAAAATGGACGGCTTGGTCTTAATAGACCGTTTGATCAAGATAGACTGCCTCGTGTTGCGTGTGTGCCATTCAGATAAAGACTTGTGCAACAGGGGAGGTTATCCTCAACTCATGTAGCCATTGGTTGGGATGGTCATCTGACCAGAATCAATCAATCAGATCTTTATGGAAAATTTCTGGGTCCTAGACACCCTTAATAAGACAGTGGAAAAATTTCGGTAGTTGCACCATCAATCCATATAAGGTATTATACAAGGTCAAAATAAAACATTACTGGACCTAAGTAGGTCACATCCCCTCCCTTTTTGGAAGTGACAGATAGGTTCCACAAAAACATACATAAGGAACCAATCTGGCAATGAAAATAAAAAAATGTCTTACAAATGTAGGCAATCAAAATCTTAATACCAGTTGAAAATATCCTTGAACATAAAAGGGAAGTAACTCAAACTTTTACAATTGGTGAAAGGGGAGTAACCCTTCAAAAGGTAATTATACATCAAAATCCCTCAGAAAAGGGTATTACAATATTTCCATGTGGATATTAAAAGTGGTAAACCCGCCAGGGTAAGACCTTTATTTCAATGACTAGCTACAATATCAAATGAGTCATATGAGACATATTATCATAAAAGATTACATATAATCAAAAACCACCTTTAATTAAGGTTCACCTGAAAATAAACAAAATATTCAACAGGATTGGAATTTTGAAAAATTCAAAACTCATACCACTCATTTTCATGTGAAAACACAACACTTGTGTATGGTCTTAATGAACCACAAAACATGTCACATGATCAATGTGTGCAATAAGATTTTACATCCTTGACAAACAATCAGCCACAACATTATCACTACCCTTAATGTGTGAAATTTCCAGATTAAAATTTTGGAAATATAAACACCATCTCAATATTCTTTGATTTGTCTGTCCTAACTTAGAGGTAAATTTCAGGGGATCATGGTCAGAAAACACTCTGACTGGATTGGTTGAAGAAGAGACATAGACTTCAAAATGTTGTAAGGACAAAACCAAAGCTAAAGCTTCTTTTTCAATAGTAGAGTAATTCTTTTGGTTCTCATTTAACTTCCTGGAAAAAAAAGGCAATGGGATGGTCAATTCCCATGTTGTCTTCTTGAAATAGGACTGAGCCAATGGCTAAGTTGCTAGCATCAATGGCAAGTTTAAAGGGCTTGCTGAAATCTGGTGCAGCCATAACAGGAGCATTAGATAAAAATGATTTAATGGTTAAAAAAGCTTCATGACATTTAGTTGACCATTCAAACTCAACACCCTTTTTCAATAATGCAGTAAGAGGTTCAGCAACAGCTGAAAAGTTTTGACAGAACCGCCTATAGTAACCAGCCATCCCAAGGAACTTTTTGATTTCTTTACAATTTTTGGGAGGAGGTAACCTTACAATAGCATCTACTTTAGCTTCAATGGGCCGAACTTGGTTCGTTCCCACTTGATAACCCAAATAGGTAATTGAAGCTTTACAGAAATCACTTTTATGCAGGTTTACAGTAAAATTAACTTCAGACAATTTATGGCTTTCCTCTGTGGACAAATGCATAAGGTGGTCATTTAGATGATCTAAAAAGGAAGATTTTACCAATTTTGGGGGTTTCAATTTATCATGTATCACATCATCAGAAACATTTGAACATACAGGTAAAGTAATTTTAGCTGTGGAATGAAAATTGTTACAATTATCATAATACTTTTTCAGTGAGTTAACATGATACACTGTCTGTTTCTTTCTTCTGTCAGGCGTATTGACAACATAGTTCAAATCACTTAATTTTGAATGCACAGTAAAGGGTCCACAATATCTCAAGGATAACGCATTGTTCAGATTAGGCACTAACACAAGAACTTTCTCGCCTGGATTGAATGTTCGTTTACGAGAACTCTTATCATACAGTTCTTTCATTCTCACTTGGGCCCTTCTTAAGTTCTTGTGAGCCATTTCGCACACGGCTTTCAGTCGAACGTGAAAATCGTCAAAGCTTTCCACTGGATGATCGTTGGTACCTGTCCACCGTTCGTGTATCAGCTTCAGGGGACCACGGACAGAATGTCCAAACACAAGTTGAAAAGGAGAGTAGCCTAAAGAGTCCTGGACACAGTCCCTCGCGGCGAAAATAATCCAAGGAACAGTCTCATCCCATTGGGTGTTACTTTTAGCGAATGTTCTTAGCATGGTTTTGAGGGTTTGGTGGAACCTCTCAAGTACGCCTTGAGACTGAGGGTGGTAGGCTGAGCTGGTGATGTGGGTAACGCCTAGCTTGGCTAGTGCTTCCTGAAAATGGTGACTGGTGAAGTTGCTGCCTTGATCTGTTTGCACGATTCTAGGTAATCCAAAGGTAGTGAAGAACCGGGTCATGGCTCTGACTACAGTCTTTGCCTTAATGTTCCGTAAGGGGAACGCCTCGGGAAAACGGGTACTTGAACACATAAAGGTAAGTAGGTACTCGTTGCCCGCCTTGGTTTTAGGCAAGGGACCTACACAGTCCATGACGATTTTAGAAAAGGGTTCTTCTAATACAGGAATCGGACTCAAAGGGGCCTTAGGAATTTTCTGGTTTGGCTTTCCGGCCAACTGACAGTTCGAGCAACTTTTGCAGTAACGCGACACCTCATTTCTCGTTTTGGGCCAAAAGAACAGTTCTTTGATCTTCGCCGTCGTTTTAGTGATTCCTGGGTGCGCTGACATTGGATGGTCATGTGCCAGTTTAAGTATTTCATGCCGATAAGGTGGAAGGACCCACAGTTGGTTTTTACCCAACCATGGTTCGGCTGGTGAGGCATCCACTGGTACAGAGCGACGAAAGAAGAGGCCGTTCTCGGAGAAATATTCCCCATCGTCAGATGATAGAGATTTTTCGACCATTGCTTTGAGTTCCGCGTCGACTTGTTGAGCTTTAATGATGTCTTCCTGAGATATCCTCAGGGGTAAGCCCAGGCTAGTGTTTTCTGGAAGCATAGACTCCAGTTTGGGAGTCGAATTTCTTGATGATGGTAGGTGTGGTTCAGACGTTGTGTCAGCCAATTGTTTGGTCTGGCTTCTTGTCACCACACATGCAGGATACAGTTCATTATCATTATCTGGAACTGTTGACAAGGGGTTTGGAACCGTACAGGGGTATACTTTGCTTCCCGCAAGGTCATTCCCTAGAAGTAGGTGTACTCCTGGGACAGGAATACTATCTATCACACCTAAAATGACTTCACCTTCGACGAGATGATGTTTCAGGGCAAACTTGTGTAGAGGGACGACAGTAGATTTTGTCCCCACTCCCTGGATAATGGAAATCCTTCCGGTGTTCGTCTCAGGTGTAATGTCCATTGAACTTTTCAAAAGAAGTGATTGTGACGCTCCTGTGTCTCTTAGGACGGTGATATTCTTCTGAGACAACGGATCACCTGGTTTGCTAATGATGGCTTCGGCAATGAAAGATGAAAAGTCAACTTTTCTCGATCCCTCGAGATCGGTAGACTCGGAAGAAACTGGATGGTGGCGAGAACAGTCAAAATGTGACTGCACATAATGTGTGGAGACTGGACTACCTTCTTGCGGACACTTAGGGTTAGAGTCCTTTAGAATTCTAGAGTTCATAGTTGAACTGGCTGCTTGAGGGGATAGAGCATAGTGCGCAGAAGTACGCACCACCTCTCTGTTATATTGACGACGTTTGTAACAGTCCTTGACAAGATGACCAGGTCTTTTGCAGAACTGGCATACTGCTCGACGATTGAGAGTTGATCTTGGTTTCTCTCTGGACTGTAATGCCTTCACGTGTTGGCCAACAGGAGGATTGCTGCCAAAAAGGGGAAGCACGGGGTTGAGGCGGTTTCCTGACACTGGTGGTTTCTTATGCACCAACATATATGTGTCAGCCGACTCAGCAGCCTTTTGGATGTCAATTATCTTGTTATCCAGTATGTGTAGTCGTATCTCTTCAGGCAGGGACGTTAGGAATTCTTCCCTTAGGATAAGTGACCTGAGTTTCTCAAACTCAGAAACTTCCTCAGAGTGTAGCCACCTTGAGAATATTTTCTCCTTTTCAAAGAGAAACTCCACATATGATTGAGTGGGTAACTTGCGGAGTGCTCGGAATTTCATCCGATAGGCCTCGGGCGTCAGTTCGTAGGCCTTCAAAATGGCAGTCTTGACCAAACTATAGTTATTTTGAACGTCGTGAGAGAGTGCCTGGTATGTTTTTGCAGCTTTCCCAGTAAGGACCGAGCTCAATAAAGCAGTAATGGAAGTTTCGGGCCATTCACATGTCTTCGCTAAACTCTCAAATGAGTTAAAGAAAACGACCAAATCTGTTTCATCAAACTTAGGAACTAATTTCCCAAATTTGGCAATCACTTGCCCCACCGACAACTTTTTTGGATCTACCAGAGAAGTGACATCACTAACTTGACCAAACTCTAATTCCAACCTCCTCTTATCTAAAGCAATTTTAGCCTCTAACTCCTGTTCTTTTAAAGCCTTCTCTAAAGCAACTTTCTCCTTCTCTAAAGCAACTTTCTCCTTCTCTAAAGCAATTCTAGCTTCTAATTCTACCTTCTCTAGAGGTTTCTCCTCGCGGAGTAACACACCAGCTAACAAACTTTCATCAAATACCCCTTCATTAATAAAATGAACAACAATTTTATCTCTCAACACCTCTGACTTCTGCGTAACAGAATAATCCAATTTCAATTCCTTAACAACACTAACGAAAACTTTTCTACTCAACTTTTCTACATCCTCAACAGTGGGATTAGCCAAAAAAGATTCCATAACACTAACTTTCAAAATCAATACAAGCCTAGATTCTCTAACTTAACACGGAGCGTTGGGCCGTGTACTTGACCTCCTATCGTGACACGTCTGGCTATTGACCTAGATACCTCTAGCCTTGCGCGCGTTGTAAGAACACGGCGCTACTGGATAGAAAAACAACTAAATCAAACTACTTAGTGTTTAACTGATATAACCAACAACTGGAACGACAGATTAAATCCCGGACGGGCCCCCACTTTGTAACGTTTACCTATCTATCAGCCAGATAGATGGTGAACGTCCCCGGATTCTTTTTTCGGGGTAATATGCAAATGACTTAAAGCCTAAATGGATGAACACTAATTCAACAACACACTAGGGCTCGAACTCAATGTCTAGGGAAAACTAGTGATACTATTGAAGTTAGCAACTCATCCAATCTGCATACAACCTTTAATAAGCGAACACAGTTGTGGCAGAACACTAGGTTAAACTAGATAAAATATTTAATTTAGGAATTAACAAAACCCAACTTACAAAGCGTAAGAAAAAACACTATCACAGATTTTAGCACTGTATAAAAATAGCCACAGGTCACACAACACTGCTATAGCTTCATGAATCACTTGGCGACAAGTAATATTATACTAGAAGATTAAATCAACTTAAGAAAGCCTAGCACACACAGGACTTAAGTTCTCTCACGTTCAAATGGTCAGAATCTATTGCCGGACAAAATGGACGGCTTGGTCTTAATAGACCGTTTGATCAAGATAGACTGCCTCGTGTTGCGTGTGTGCCATTCAGATAAAGACTTATGCAACAGGGGAGGTTATCCTCAACTCATGTAGCCATTGGTTGGGATGGTCATCTGACCAGAATATATCAATCAGATCTTTATGGAAAATTTCTGGGTCCTAGACACCCTTAATAAGACAGTGGAAAAATTTCGGTAGTTGCACCATCAATCCATATAAGGTATTATACAATGTCAAAATAAAACATTACTGGACCTAAGTAGGTCACAATAGTATACATGTCCAAAGTGTAAATGCAGTGTTATATAAAAACAAATAGTTTTTTTATAATCGTAAAACCTTAATTCCTTTAAAATATAAATATTTTTCAAGTTACCTAGGTTCACATTTGATTTAGTTGAGCATTTACAATTTTTACATGTAGGATATCCCATAATTTTGTTTCTAGGTTAGTGACCCAGATACACCACTGAATCAGTTGGTATTTACTTCAACTGAACTTACTGCTGACAGATATGTCTACATAAGTGGGTTGGTACATTTTTACCATTCATATTTGTATATATTGTTTTTACTTTTTTAAATGTATTTCATATGTTAATTCATTGTTTTTAAACATGCAGGTTAAGCTTATTCAATGTTAAGCAGTTTGACAGAGAAGTAATTCCCCAACATACTGTTACTGTAAGAGTTGCAGACCCTCAAGGAAATGTAAATATTTTTATCTTTGTTTTTAAAACCTTGTATAAATGATTTTAAAAAGTCAATGAACAGAAAAAAATTTGAAATTATTTTACAAGATCTTGATTTTTATAATACATCTTATTGCTGACTAATTGGTGTTACACAGATTAATTATCTGGTTTTTATATAAAGTTGCATTTTAAGGCTGTCACATAACACAAGTGATTACTTTAAGCTTATTTTTCCCCATATTTTTAGACTGCTACAGCTACTGTCATTATAATTGTACAAGACATCAATGACAACAGCCCTGCATTTGGACAAAGCCAGTACACTTTCAGTATACAAGAAAACCAACCAGTGACCACAATTGTTGGCTCAGTTTCAGTAAGTGTTTTAGGATTCACCTGGTCGACATAAAATCTAAACTTTTTAACTATGTGAAGTTTCTATGAATATTTTTATTTTTTACAAAATATGCATGAAAAAGTGTTTTTAGTTGTTTAAATTGCCAGCTTTAAACTTAATTAACACTTCAGAGGTATAGTTTGTTACTATTTAAGTTGAAAAACTAATACTAACTATAATATAGTTAGTATAATGTATATGATACCAAGAATAATATAAAGTAATAATGTGACACTAATAGTAATATATAATATAATATAATATAATATATTATCTACCACACTAATAATAAAAAGTAACAATGTTAGATTGGCCCAGGTTTAAACTGATGTTTTATCACCAGGCTACAGATGCTGATGAGCCCAACACACCAAACTCAGCCCTAACATATGGCATGGTCCAGACATTGGACTTTGATAAGTAGGTTTTCCTGCTCTCTTCTCTGTGAAGTTTAAATATTGTCTTGTCGTGTGACTGGGCTTTGTTAATTAATGTATGCAGGTGTTTTGTTTGTAAAGTTTAACAATCATCTAATAATGCAACACAAAAAGCGTTTAAATGCTATGTATACAACAGAATAGATAGAATAAATTACATGTGAAATTTTAAGTAGGAAGACACTTACTTCCAACGAGCCGGCCCGCGGCATAACATACGCCGCTATTTAGTTGTTTTATTTTCTACTTTTCAGTAATTCATAATTTGTGAATTCGACAGTACCAACGCTGCCACTGAAAATATTTCTTTAAAACACTATAAGTAGCTCTTTAAGGACCATACCCCCCCCCTTCCTTACCCCCACCCCCCTCTCCCCCACCCCCCCTACCTTATGTTTAAAATCGTTGGCTCTGCTTGTAAACATTTAGAGTGAACATAGCTCACTAAGATCATGTAGGGGTGGGGAGGTAGGGATCGCGTTTACAGCTTGTTTTCTTGCGGCTCCCAGAAGAGAATTATATATAAAGATATTTGCTATAAAAAAGTATTTGTATCTCTTTCTTTAAAGATTTACCATAAACCTATCAAGTGGGCAGCTGTCTTCCAATGCCATATTTGATTATGAAACAAAACAGCAATACCAGATAGTTGTTAGAGTCTCTGACAATGGAAATGCCCCACGGACTACAGTCGTGCCAGTCACAGTCAACATTTTAGATCTTCAAGACAATCCACCATTATTCCAAGTTCTCAACACAGAGGTCTCAATTAATGAAAATGTTGCAAATATACTTGTGGCAACTCTTAAGGCTAGTCATTTTTAAAATATATAATCCTGTTTATAAATAGTTCATTTTTCAATCTAGAAAATTTAAAATGTTATAGAATATTAAAACATGTTATTAAATAGACAGTAACTTATATTTATGTCTATTTATGTTTTGTATTTTTGTCCATTTCATGTGTAAAAAATAATTGGTCTTTGAAGATCATTCCTACATAGTATACATACATAGTATATCACTAAATATATATATAAGAAAACTTATGAGGTATGAGCTTAATGAAGAGAAATCTTTAAAGGAAACAATTCAAGCAACTAGTTTAAAAACGTTGATATTGATAAAAGAAAGACAACCTGTAAATTTCTCAACAGGCTGATGATGCTGACTCTGTTAAGAGCTACAATTTTGTCCTGGCTGATAATGCAGACTCTTCAGCTTTCTCTGTACAAACTGTGATCAATGAGGCAAGAGTTTATTTAAACACTGCACTGGACTATGAGGTGAAAATCCGCTACACTTTCCAGGTGACAACTCAAGGAATGATAGGAAATATTTTGTACACAACGGCCTCAGTCACAGTCAATGTTTTGGTTAGTATGTTTTCTCAGTTGAGCTTATCATATGTATAACAGGAAGATGAATAATTTTTAAAATCCTTTTATATAGACAAATTTGGTACGATGGAAGGGCCTACTAGTGGTTTTAGTTAGTAATATGGTGGATTAAAAATTACAAAGTTTAAATTATTTTCCTTTAATTAACCATGAGAACCCTTAATGCTCCACCTATATGAATAAAATTTAATTTATGCAAGTCTACAAGAAAATTAAGTTTCACTATCTTCAAATTGTATAAGTGTTAAAACTTAAAAATCTAAATTGTTTAAAACAAAAATTATATTTGCGGAACTTACTTCCCTCTTCTCTAATGAATAGATTACCTCCCCTATTCAACTTGCAACTTTTTTTATATTTCAGGATATGAATGATAACCCCCCAGTGATTGGACAATACTCTGCAACAGTTACTGTACTGGAAACTGTAGCTATAGGCTCAGCTCTGAGTTATTTAACAGCTACAGATGCAGATGGGACTGTAATTTTCAAGTTTTTTGCTTTGTTTCATTTATTTTTAAAAAACATTTTACATGATCCTCTTTAATATAATCATATAATTATAGCGTTTAAGAAAATAAGAAAAAGAAACAAGTTTAATGGAACCCCAGAACTTTAATGAAAAACGTTACAGTGTCATATTTCTGATATTTTCAAAGTGAACTTCAGTTCAGCTTAATTACGAAATAACATCTAATTCAAATAATAATTTAACTTTAAGAATAACATAAATCTAGATTTTTGTATTAATTAAAACTGGTGTACACAATATCTGTGAGATAATTTCAAATCTTTTTCTGACCAGTCACCAAACAACAGGATAGAGTACAAAGTCCAAAGTGTCAGCCCAAACAGTGTTAGCAACCTCTTCTATGTTGGTGAGAAGAGTGCTATTCTAACAGTTGCATCCTCACTCCAAGCTGACAGGACTGTCAACACTTATACTGTAAGTCTTGTCATATTTTATACGGGAATCAAAATGGTATATGCATTTTTAAATAACTTATAAAATTGTTTAAGGGTCATCCATTTATGATGTCCACACATCATAAAGGGTAGCGGTGTATGTGGTCCAATAAAGTGGATGTGTGTGGATTGGGGGTGGGGATGGGGGTTTGGATCCATGTGGGAATCCACATACTGAATTTAAAATATGTTAATGCTTCTTCAAACACATAACAATTATGCAGCACATGCAATGTATAGATTCGACAGTATTTATCTCCATAGAATTTTTACCTTTACTAGTGAAGACGGATAACAGACATTTTTGTGGATGTCCCTTAATAAATGTGTTATAATTTGTTATGTCATATGATTAAATTGAACCACTCAAACTATTATTAAAGCATTTTTCATAGGTTTTTAGGCTAAAATCTTCTCTGGCATATTTGTTTTAGTGCATGTATGGGTTAACCATTATGATTTTATGTGAGCATTACAATCAAGTGTGTAGAAAACTCTTTGAAAACCTTTTGACTGCTGTCTTGTTAGGGTGGCATGTAAGCACAGCTGCAGTTATTGGTCTGGATGTTAGGACTTTAAAACTACTACTAACACAATCACAACATAGATTGAGTAATGTAGATTTAAAGATCTTGAATAAGTTTATTGTATTAGTCACACCAGCAAATCTGCTGATGCTGTCATTACAACCTCGCCCATTGACAAATGAAACTGACTTACATTCACTTGAGCTTTCAATTGTCGAACATAAAAATGTCACTTTATTTTTTCCGTTAGTTGATTCTCACACCCCCTATTGGTTATCATACTACTGAATAACACCAACACAACTTTAATTCCTAGTATAAATAATCCCCAACCCAACATGTTTAACATTGTACCAAATTTGCCTTTTAAGTTGGACTTATTAATCTCTTCTCTCTTAATCCTGTTCATGCCCAAGGCACATGGGGCAGATGAAGTAGAGTTCATCTGATTCATTGACCTTGGCATATGAAGGGATCGTGTGGTCAGCACTATGCCCAGCTGCCTTTGTTTCCAGTACGTAAGTTAGGTACCCATCATAGCTGGGTGGACTCAGGGACATTCCACTGATTTGACCATCTTTTGTCCTGGAGGACTTACTAAATAATCTTTATTTAAATTTGGTTTAAAATTGGTTCTTGTTTCAGGTCAATGTCATTGCCTTTGATTTAGGCACACCATCTTTAACTGCCACAGGGACAGTCACTGTGACTGTAAAACGCAACACTGCACCAGTTTTCCAAGGTAGCTCAACAACTATTCCAGCTGTAAATGAGAATATTGCAATTTCTACTTCCAGTAGAAAGTTTTAATACTTTTGTAGCAGGATATATTTTTTATAAATAACTTCTGATTGTCCAGTTGCTCAGAAGCTCAGTTTTATTTTAGCTTGAATACAATTTTTGGCCATTTTGAATTTGAATTCAACCGAGATACGTTTTTCTTCCGGAAATACACAGCCTGATCAACATTTTTACCAAAGTTTATCCAAAAAATTTAATCACTGAACATTCTGTGGTAAGTAAACAATATTATCATTTATGATAGATTTTAATTCCTCAAATTTAAAATCATGCCTAATGTAAAAAGACAAAACAGAACAACAGAAATTGTTAATAATGAAAGTAATTTTTAATCTTTTCTAAATCTGTAGTGATTGCAAGCTAACTTCATGTAAACTACAAGAGGCATCTCATGAATATCACAACAATAACTTAAATTTTGTGTTTTTATCCATACAGCAGTGTTTCTTCCAGACTTTTTTCTCCGGGGGGGGGGGGGGCACTTGAAATTTTCGGGGGGGCGGTAGACTTTCTTCGGGGGTGGGGGAGGGGCAGACACTGTTAAAAGTATATATTTTCTATATAAATTTCATTTTGTTCGGGGGGGGGGGGGGGCAGAGATGCCTGGAAGAAACTCTGCCATACAGAGTTACACCAAGCAACATAAGAAGAGTAAAATGAAGACAATTACAACCAATGGGATAGCTAATGTAAAAGATATCTGGAATTTGTGGCTTCTATAAAAACAGAACTGGCTGCATCAACTTTGAATATATGTCCTAGTATTGCCAAGAGGACCTACTAAGAATGTTGCAAGAGGTTGAGGAAACTGTTGCTGTAGGAGTTGTGATGAGTACAGAAACTTGTCTGTAGATTTCATTTGATAGACATAAAAAAACAAGGAGAGAATTTTTTTTACATGCAGAAAGATGGGATCAGATGATATAGAACAGCTAAAGGATAGTCAGCACAAGTTTTGTTATTAGAAAAAAATTGTAAAGTAGGTTGGCTATCATGAAATTGTGTATGTTTCATGTACAAGTGGCACATTTGAGTTTCTATTCCATTTGTGCATTTGATGTAATGAGCTGCTTCTTGTATAATCATTTTTATTGTTCTGATTAATATTTTATATTACTTTTCTCAATTTAATGTTTTCATTAAATTTTTTACAGCATGCCTTGTAGTGAACATTAAATGTAGACAGAGGCAGGCTTATTATGAGTGGCTTTATTTTCATAATTACATGTGCCAAAAAAAAAAAAAAAAAAACTATGGTACCACAAAGTACCATAATTTTTTTTCAATATTTTTATTTTTAATGTTTAAATTATAGTTGCTAACATAATGTTATTCCTTTTTTAAGTATGTGCAATTTTCTTACATTTGTTAAATACTTTTTGTGTTATTATAATTTTTGTGAATTTATAAATGTTGGGTACTTACTATATTTTCTACAATAAAAGCCATTAATATATTATGTTTAGCTGAACTGCAGTTTTGGTTTTTCTGTTATTTTTCTGTTCTTAATATATCATGTTTCGAGAAACAGTTCATTAAAACTATTGTTTTAAATGTAAGTCCAACCTGGCACCTTTACCACAAACTGAACTGCCACCGATGCGTGATGTAAGCTATTCTTTTACATTCAGGTAAGATGTAGGCCTTGTTTTATGGCATTATATACAACCGCTGTAAAAACCACGATCTAAAGATCTGCATTTTATAACGTTCAAATAACTTGTAAATAGCATTTTATGATATTCCCTTAGATTTAGATCTGATAGTAAATGTTGTAAAAGTAAAACAGTAGGCTTGCACTTTACCTTTTGTCTTTTTCAGGGCAAATTTTTCAGTTGTTTACTTCAGTTAAGTGTCTATTATAATTCTTTAAATTAAAAATTACAAGGAATTTCATTTCTTCAAATAACTTAAAATTGTGTACAGTAAATGTATGTATTTTTAAAAATGGTCAATAAAGTAATAATTATCTTTGATTTTGGCAGATACAATTTTGCAATTAACCTACATACTACACCCCATTGTTTATTAGATTATTATTGTAATTGTTTTTTAACTTTATTTATTTCATACTGCAGTGCAAGTTGATAGACAAAGTTAAATAGCTTGGTATATAGTTGATAACCTGGTCACAGCTCCAAGAGCAGCTTATCATCTAAGATGTAGCTTAGTTACATATTGATAAGACATCTGAACACAAGATTAATGGTAAAAACATTTTATAAATTGTAAATATTAACATTTAATATTTTAAATTAACTGGGCATTACCACACTGTTTTATGAGCAAATATACAGATCACACTCTTTAAGCATGCAACAAAACCTTCAAGCTCAAGAGAACCTGTTCAGTGGATTACAATTATTTTATTGGGGAAAAACGGGGTGTTTAGGAATTAACTATAATGTATTGTCACTAATTAGTTATTTAACCTACACCAATAAAAAGTGTTTAATAATCACACACAAAAAGAAGATTTAATACATTACTTATTTTTACATGTTTGTATAACTATTGCTGATCTTTTTTTTTCAGTCTAGACATTTCCAATGTTTATTAAAAGTCTTATTTCCATTTTCTTTAAGAATATGTCAAACATTTTACTTCTCTATATGCACATCCATTATCTCTGTAGACTAAATGAGCCATTCATACATACACATGCACACACATACAAAGAATTCCTGTTTATTTACTTACAGATTAAATATTCTCAATGTTTATTCACAGCTTAAAATTTTTGACACACAGCTACCAGCAAGTTCTGCAATATATAAAAAAGTTCACATCAAGATGTTTTCCAATAACAGCCAACTATGATACCCAAGATCTTTATACACAGCTATGTATGGTGTACAAGATCTCCACTTAAAATATTATACTCATAGAACATCATCAAACTTTTCCCCTACATCTTAGAAAATCAATCATTAATTAGGTTATTTATAATTTAGTTGGAAATGATATCTCAAACAACCCAAAACTTTTTTTTTAATGGACAATATTCACCATTTAAATATGTATTTTTGCCAGAATACTTTTAACATAGGTTTAAAGTTCTCATTAGCCATATAGATAAGTTGGATTATAAACATTAGCCATATAGATAAGTTGGATTAATTTGTATTATTTTATACAAATTTTAAGTAATGTTGGCTTTTTTGTTAAATAAAGTTTGTTTGCTTTCTTGTAATAGTTTTATGAAATAAAAATTATATTTAAAATATGTTTATTTTTTTTTCTTTCTCGCTTTTTAAATACTAGAACTTGTGTTGCCACGATCAGTAGTATCAGATGTGATTACATCTGTGATATCAGGGGTAGCTTGTAGTAGATTTGTACTTAGATAGGTAACACAACAGACGAGGAAGTCATCTTCTATGCACACCACGTTTTATTCTTAATCAGAAACAGGAAGCACATGACATGCAAGGGACATCACTCAAACATTATAAGACTAATACAAGAAGAGTGAGTTCCCCTCAATATAAAGCTCAATATATTACATCCCTTTACCCTTAGTAAATAATAACATAGCTTTCAAGAGAATAAATGATAGTATCCTAAAATCACCTTGCTATTTCCTTCTTTAATTTAAAACATTAGAATTGCCAAGCAATAATAAAAGAAAGATTGAACAATGATCCTCTTTTCAATTAATAACACTTCAAAAGTCAATACAAAACATTATATGCATTCCTTCCGAAATGTTAAACAATTTAATAAATCACTAAATATATTGTAACATGAGCATTATATGATTTGAATCATTTGGTAGATTAAATCCTTACAAATGCAAAATATGCTGCAACATAATTAAAATACAAAACAATGATGTCAAAGTCCTATTAACCTTTAAAATGATAGGTCTAACTTATCTGGGACTTTGATCGTCCTGTTTGACCTTCTCAGTGGCTTTTGATTTGGTGACTCAAGATTCTGACCATCTGGACTCTCTAGCTCAGGAAGTCCAGGATCTAAATCATTAATTCCAGAATTTACATTTTCTGACTAGACTACTTGGTTCACTCATATCAACAGAACTTGGTTGTGGAACAAACTGACTTGGTGTGAACCGGTCAGATCTGGTGGGATTGATAGATTCACACTTATTATCTGCACAAGTTATTTTTAACTGGTCTGCATGTCTACGGACAATAAGTCCATTATTTGTTTTTACTTTATAAGACACAGGTCCTGTACATTGAACAATTTGACCAGGCATCCATTTTTCCCCTCTCCCATAATTTCTCAGATACACATTATCATTAACTGACTCTTCAGGCCAACCATTCTTACAGTACTCATATACTTTTATCAAGCACTCATCTTTTTGTGTTTCTCTCTTAACATCATTCACATTTATTTTGGAGTTATCCATGATAGTGAAAAGAACAAATACATCTTCTGGTACACAACTAAGGCTTTGGTTTTTTAAAGGTAAACGACTAAGACTATCTGCACTATTCTCAGATCCAGGTTTGTATTTCAATTCATAATTGTATGCGGCTAGTGTGATAGCCCACCTTTGAACCCTTGGTGAGGCATGCTCAGGCAGGGGTTTGTTTTCCCCAAACAAACCCAGCAATGGCTTATGATCTGTAAAGATGGTGAACACCCTACCAAACAGAAACTTGTGAAATTTCTTAACACCAAAAATGATGCCTAAGCCTTCCCTATCTAACTGAGAATAATTTTTCTCAGCCTGGTTCAAAGATCTACTGGCAAAAGCAATGGGTCTGTCACCATTTTCATCTATGTGGGATAAAACTGCTCCCACACCATCTGGTGAAGCATCACATGTTAAGATAAGTCTTTTCCATGGGTCATAGTGAGTTAGCAAAGTGTCAGAAGACAAAGCTTCTTTTGCTGCATTAAAAGCAGCATCTTGTTTTTTACCCCAGTGCCAAGTTGCATTTTTCTGCAGCAGCTTGTACAGTGGTGATAGTTTACCAGCCAGATTCCCTATGAACTTCGCATAGTAATTTATCAAGCCCAAAAAAGCTCTTAGCTGTTGGGTATTTTCAGGTTTGGGTGCTTCTTTAATTGCTTTTGTTTTCTCAGGTTGAGGTCTGAGACCCTGTTTGCTCAAACTCTAACCCAGAAACTAATATCTGTCAGCATGAATTGACATTTATCTTTGTTTATCTTTAAACCCTTTTCACCAACTATTTTCAAGACTTTATCAAGTGTTTTAAGATGTTCAGTGTCATTCTTACCAGTTATGTATACATTGTCAAAGTAAACA